GTTTCGACAAGGTTTTGTCATCACCAGGTACCTGATGTTAAACATATATTAAAGTTTTTCTTCATTACCCATTTAAGCCGTCTGCACCCATTAATATGACATATTTGATATGTCGCAAATATTCAAAGAGATTTTATAGTCAAAGATACCAGGTACCGTTTGTTCAAAACATACAAAAGCAAAACAAGTTTTTAAATAAGTAAATACACATTCATGACAACCCGCATGTTACAGTTGCATTCTATGATTGTTTACAAAGCAATTTTGTCTTCCTAAGAACACAGAACAAAATAACGTAAGTAATTCAATTGAAATGTACCCGTGGTGTGGTAAAAACAACAAGCAAAGAACGTGTTAAACATAGATATGTTGTAAGTAGGGAAATACAGGATAAAAACAAGTACAATTATCTATATTAAACGAGACACTAATTTGACTTTTTAAGGTCCCCGATTGCTTATAACGTTAAAAATCTGGTTTCGATAACCACGATTGGTAGCCCATTGTGTAGCTTTACGCTTGACAGCACCAAATGTGTTTTTGTTTTCAAGAATTTCGTAATGACATTATCACAAGAATTAGAAAAGCATCTGTATTTCTCAAAGTTATTACTCCATAATACCACACGTTAGGCTTATCCTTTCTAAAAAATGTGCTAAACTTTTAACCGTTGCAGATGTGCTACAGATTTTAAATCTATGATGGGTACCAGACGATTATATAAAGTTCTGAAATCTTATATAAATAAAATTGAACATATTGGGTATAAAGTTACATAATATAACAAATCAGTTAGTCTAAAAAATGTTTCTAAAACCATTATTGTGTCATCCAACTGCTATTAGACTACTTTTCCCTTTGCTACAGTGCATATTTTGAAGTGTGTATGTAGTAACTGTATCTGAAAATTATGAGAAACTTCACTCAATATTGCAACACCTTCGAGTAATTTGCATTATTCTCAAGCAGCGATTAGTCCATTAAAAGTTTAGGACTGTTAACACTGAATTTGTCTAGAAACCAGTTAACGCTAATATTGTTTATTTATTTAAATTCAGATATCCGATGTAATGTATAATATACATTTTTTTATACGTCTGCTAACGATTTATAGAGAAACTGATACATAACACATGTACAAGTAATTGTTCTAGATAACACCTTAATTACGAGTACGAATCAAGCGTATACTTCATTCAGAAACTAAACAGTATTTCTAGTTTCTTCTATAAAAGTTCAAATTTATCTACAGAAACTGCCAAATTAACTTTCTCTCAAAAGTAGTATTTGAATGTTTATATGTAGCATACAGTAAAACTCGGATAAATACTGTAAAACTTTTGAATAGACTACTTTCAATGCTCGAAATAAAATACGAACCAATGTTATTGCAAAGTTTTAAAAGGGCTGTACAAGTCTTTCATTTAACACCCCCCCCCAATTCTTTTAAATACTCCATTTTAGCTTCAAAATTTGATTTGGAAATTACAAAATAACATTTAAACTGAACTAATTAAGACAAAATAGTTTTCCAGTTACCACTTTTAATAGACAGTTCGCGACGGTTAGAGTTCATTATTCAAATCGGTAGAAGTGATTGAGTTATACGCCGAGATGACTTCAGGTGTTCAATGACGCTACAAGTGTCCATGTTAGGTAGACGAAAATAAATATTAAGTTTCCAGAGTGCGATTATAAGAATGAAGAATTACGTTACGTAAAACAGGATTTGAGCCGTCAATAGCTCCATTGTTAAACAAGGCAATGTTCATGAAATAGCCACAGGATCAGGTGTTGAGCGCGTTAATCAGTCTGGTTAGCATATTATCGTACTACAAATGACCAAGACATACCCGAAGAACCAATTTATGACTGACCAGCTAAGATTTGCCACAAAGTTTATACTTATAAATACAATATTCACAAATTAGACTGAAGAATAATGAAAATTTGTATTCTCCGGCTTACATGAAGAAACTACAGATCATATTGGAATGATATACCCGCCAAATTTTCTTCGTTGTTTATTTCGCGTACGTCCTTTCCGAACTCATCCTCAAGATAACGAATTAGAATACCAAGAAGGTACCTCTAACACCAAGATTCTGAGTTAGAAACTTTAAATTATAGATTTGGCTGACAAAAAAAAGTTGTTAGGATTACCAGAAACAATGATGAAGGTAAATAGCTCCAAACAAACCCCAATTATAAAAAGGTTTTAGGTTTAGTCCAGTGGTATTCAAACTGTCGCGCGATTTTCACCAAACGAAGAATAATTTAAAAGACAAAGTATTACACACGGTAAGTCAAATTAAGTAATGTAATAAAAAACATACAACTTAAGAAAAATCCTAGCAATTTGTGAAATTGTTGACCAATAGTATAAATTACTGAAAATCATACTATTGCTGTAATTTTAAAGCCTTTAATTCTTTTCACATTCATTGGAATAACTAATGATTATACAGATGTCCGAGACAAATGCCTGCGAAAATCCTTGGTCATAATATTCTAGTATTAGAAAGGCAGCGCATTTTTACTTTTTTTATACAATAAAAGAATCCAAAACGTAAATGTACATTGATAGATCTGAAATGTTTTATACGATACTTTCTATACAGATATTGAGGTATTCAAATTAAACAAATGGAAACAACTGCGTCTAAAACAAATTTTATTATCAACGAACATAAAACACTGAATATCCACACATCCATTGAAAAACGTCCAACGATCTTTTTTTATGACGTCTCGATGGACACTCATCCCCTGACGTAACATATCTTCCAGTGTTGTGAAATGCAGTCGGGATGTTTCGTGCTATCTTACTTCTGCACCTTACTCTGGTAGATCAATGCTTCATCTTCCAATAAAGGTCCATCTGCAAGATACAGGTAATTTTAATATACGTCTATTATTGGAAGAACCTGTTTTTAGCAGATTTTAGAATTGCCTTAGTGCACCAGAGCTGGAAAGACGAAACTGCTGTACATTAATACAGAGTATCATTATACATGTAACAGAAAGGGAATTGTAAAACTAAAGTATTGCCTGAAACAATTGTAACAATGAAATACTTTACATTTGCATTAACAAGACCTCAGAATCATAAGTGGAGTAATTTCAACACATTTTCAGAATGGTGCATGAATCATCACAGGTCTTTGTTTTAAATCACGGCTTTGGAACATTTAACTCTTACCGTTTAATTATTCAAATATGGATCCTGTAAACTGTGGGCTTTCTTTTTCACCCAACCTCAAAGAAATTACTTTATTTGGGTTGATAAACCCTCATCCAAGTTGTAAGGTTGGCAAGTAGCCATAACTAAGGATTAAAATAAATCATTCAACACTTTCATTAAAGTTTATAGTAGTTTTCTAAAAACACTGCCCACTATTCTACCCCTGATATAGATTCCTTGCTGTGATTAGCCAAGAAAACTCCAATTGTGTAACATTTTTCAGTTTCCTCGAAAAATGGGCCACATAGGTGCAACAATTTTCCCCAGTAGATTTTAGGTAAGTTGTGTAAGCTACACAGGTGCATACACTACACATTTACTTAATTATATTATTAAAATTAGTTTTCAATGAAGGCTCATAGGTAAATATACCATGAGTGCCAGTTAGATTTTAGTAAAACTGAAAAGAGAAAAAAAAAACTGATTTTGGGCAACAGATTTGTCCTTACTATATAGTTGACAAATATTTCTCCTACTTCAAAGCCTGTATACAAAAATTAAAACATACCATGATTCCATACTTGTTATGAAGCACTTTAGGGCAATATGTAAATAGCAGCTTTGAAGATAACACCTGCAATAAGAAAAGATGAATTACAAAAAAGAAAAAATCAAATATTTCATCCATTAGCTTTAGGTGCAATCAGATATTTAAGATTTATATCACATGACATCATTTGTCCCTATCAAAAGTATCATCACATGCACAATACAGTTAAAACAAGATGTATACAACTGCTGATATTTAGTTTTGAAGAGTTTGACACTAATCATGGAATGTCACAGGTTAAATTAACACGCCTCACCAATATATCAAATACAACAAAATCTCTGGTGGTCACTAGAACATTTGCAAATCATACTTCAGTAGAACAAGACTACTTACTTCCAGGAAGTTCATCCTTTGCTTTCTCTCACTCCAGATGAAGCATAAATCCATTGCATACAAGTTCTTAGGTCATTTGTACATACACATTTAGACACATCCTCACAGGTACAAGATTCATGTCCCTTGAATTGGGATATCCCTGAATAAATTCTTCATTCAAAATTCCCGCTGAATTCTGTCTACAATGGTTATCCACATTCTTCCCAGGAATGAACCCTTCCTTCTACAACAGCCTCTAAAATGGACTGGTAATTAGCTTCACTATTATTCCCAGAGCTCAAATACCAGCAAAACAAATCTCACCAAGATCAAACACAAGATTTCAGTATTTGATTGGGATTAGAAAACGTGTACAGGAATTCCTCCAGTTGGAGAATAATACAGACAAGCTGCATCATAAGCCTGTTGCCTTTTCATTGAAACGAGGCTCCCAATATTAGAAGACACTGGACTTGTGTAAACTAGGTGTCATCCTCTTTTACACATTTTCCACCATAACTTCCATGGTATCTTCACTAGAAAGTGCTGGTTTCACTAATGGTAACTTCACATTTTTCCTGTCTACAACACTCAGTGAAAGGATAAATTGTGATTCTTGTCATGTCAGTTTTGTTAGAATTCAGACAGCTACTGTAATATAAAGGTTAAAATACGTTACTTTCTTGAAGCATGGCACAATACTTCAATTTTTGTGCACTTATATTTATCAAACATTTAAAAAATAACCTCCATCTACATAGAAACCACAGATTAATTTTCTCTATTTTTGAAAAACCTTTACATAAATCTTATCTTGCACACTCAATATGCAACGAATAGCAAATGTCTCAAATAAATCTCATACATTTCTTTAATAACTGTATTCATTCAGGTTATGATAAACATTTGGCGTTTGATATTAATATTTTCAGGAATCTTTCGACTCATGTCCTTAAAACGTTAATTCAAAATACATCTTTATAGCATTATTAATATTCATTCCTAATAGTATTTACCAAGTCTCACCCAAATTATTAGTTCACTCAGATTAACTAAACAATATCAAATAATCTGATAGCAAGGATAAACAAATTTGTTTATACAATTAAATATTTACATCAATTCTGGTGTCTAATATAATTTTTAATCAGACCATTTAGCTGTTTTGTACTAGATTGTGCCTATATGCATTATGGAATAAGTTTAATCGATGTAGGTTTAACCTGAAATGCCTTACACAGCCATTAGATTCATGTAAAGTAGACTATGCAGATCACTTGACTCTTAATAGCACCACCTTTATATTTAATAAATGCATTAAATATTGCAGCAGATATCTTATGAAAACATTCTACACTCGTCAGATACAAGGTAGACCGTTTGGTTTTTATTTCGCGCAAAGCTACACGAGGGCTATCTGTGCTAGCCGTCCCTAATTTAGCAGTGAAAGACTAGAGGGAAGGCAGCTAGTCATCACCACCCGCCACCAACTCTTGGGCTACTCTTTTACCAACAAATAGTGGGATTGACTGTCACATTATAACGCCCCCACGGCTGAAAGGGCAAGCATGTTTGGTGGGACGGGGATCCGAACCCACAAGGTAGACAGACACCTAGTTATTAAAACTTAGAGGCTGCCATGGAGTTATCAACAGGCACAGAGAAAAAACTGGGGCAGGATATTTGCAGTTTGGGATTTATATTTAATACCTTCACTAACAAACACTTAGACACAGTATTCCTAACCACAATACACAGTCCATAAATCTAACTTCTGACACTTACCCCAATGTTCCCTCTGGAAATTAATGTGACTTGATATTGTCCTGCTGAAAGGATTTAAAACAATAACATCAGTAACAGACAGACTGAATACTACAAAAATACAATTAAATAACAAGTATGATTCAGTTAGGGGCAAAAGAACCAGTGTCAGCAAGTACTTCAGATGAACTATGCTTTCATCATAAACATACCATAAAATTTGAACTAAATACTTCAGGAACCATGATTACGTCAACCTTAACAGTTTTGGAAGCCAATAGTAAAAACAAAACTTTAGTGAAACTTCTTACAAATATTTACTATTCAACAAGTTACAACTTAAGCTATGGAATATGTAAATACAAAAGAGTATAGAAAGAATTAACTGAAATCAAATACTTGTAATAAAAAAAAACTTACCCTCTGACACATCCCAGTGTTTCCATTATGATACTGCTATTTGATATTTCAGAAATTAAAATAGTGTTCCTGGTAATTACTGCAACTTCATCTAGGCCTGCCAGATTTAAAACAGTAGCATTAGTACAAGAGTGAATAAAATAAAAAAATACAAGTAAATAGTAAGTATGAATCAGTTAGGGACGAAAGAACCAGTGTCAGCAATAGATAATTCAGATGAACTATGTTTTCATCATTAACATACTATTATCAAACTTCAAAATTAATATCAAGCTTTCATTATCAACACTTACCTTAATAGTTTTGGCAGTTAAAAATAGCAGCCTGTAAAAAAAAAAAAAAACAGAATAAGTAAAATTTAACCTAAATGCCTTCAATTTATATGTAAACCATGGAATCTTTGTACATAAATGCACAAAATACAAATTAAATTAACAAAATAGTTATCACCCATCACTACTCAATTGAAATAGCACCATCAGATAATTAACATTAAATTTTGACCATCAATTAAGTATCGGTTTAACATTTCAGTCTATGTGAAAATATTATGCATGTTAATTTGGTCAGCTCTGAGAATAACTTTTAACAGCAATGGCCATTCTGATCAATGAACTAAGTTATTTAAGTGTAATGCAAAGTATTAGTAGGATTACTTGGCATTATCACTGTATCAGTTTGAAAATGCAAAAAAATAACTTGAATGCTGTTCTTTTAGCTTTACTTTTGAAATAATTTAACATTCAAAGCTACTGTTAGAAATTATTCCAAAAAACGTCTGACTATGATTGTATTTATAATCAGATATAATTGCAAAGGAAGGTTTTTGTAGAAAACTATTTTAGATTGGAGTAGGGTTACAAAAATGTAATGTAAACTGTAACTAAACCAAGCATCCTTTACTTTAGTAAAATTAATTTTCATATACCCATTTTTGCCTAAATGAGAAAGGAAATATTTATTTTGTGGATGTTTGTCTATGCTTTGTGGCCTATGAAGAAAAACTTGTGCAGAAACATGTGAAGACAAGAAATACCTAGGTCTCTGAGGCCAAAAGTTTAGTTAATGTATTAGGTTTAATTTTATTGTCTGACCATCATAAAACTGAGTAGCATTAGCAATAATATTTAATATTTTACTTTATGTAAAACATTGGTTAAGTTTTGTAAAAACTATTGAAGTAAATTACTGTCTGTTTACTTTCTAATGTGACTGTCTAGAACATCAATAGATGTTTGGTACTAATCTAATTTCCATTTACAAGTCAATTGAATTTTCACAAATATTCTTGCATCACAGGATTTAGGCTGTAGATTAAGTTATTGTAAGTGCTAGTCATATTTTTCATTCTCAAAATCAGTAGTATAATCTGTTAGTAATGAGAATATCACTAAAGTTTTTAAAATATTAATGGAATGTTATTAAAGTTAAAAAAACTGATCACTATAAGCATGGGTTGTCAAATATCCGTAAGTAAAGATGACATTGCTAAAGTAATTGTATTCAATCATGGTATTAAAAACTAACATGTTAATATTTTCTACTTGCAATAAAACAACATACAAAACTTGATTTTGCTTGTTAATAATGAATATGAATAGAGTAAGAAAGTAGTGAAAAGTACCCTCAATTAGTTAATGTACCATTATTGGCTATGAAGTGAATGTATGCACAATGTATTACTATTACTAATGATATAATTGATCAATTACATCGTACATAATTCATACCCTTTGAGGATGATACAATACCATTGAATTTTAAATTAAATATCAAGTCTAAGCATCTGCTCACTAAACTTTTGGAGTAGTCATTAGGGACAAAGAGAAACCACGTTTTTCCACAATTTCATCTTCAAAAATGATCAGTGCACCCTATGCACTGCTTTTATTCTTTTTTTTTTTTTTTATTTCAACTACTTCAAACGTTTGTATGTCAAAGCTTACAATGAATATTTCCGAAAAATTTAGGAGAAAAAAATTCTAGAATTCCGCACACAATCTTAAAATAATTCGTACAATCGTAAAACTGGTTTAATTACGCCTAAATTTTAAGAGTTGGCATATCTGCATATATACTACAATTAAGAAGGAAAATTTTTTTCTTCGTGTTAAAAATTTAAACTACTTTGAAAATATCTACCAAAACGTTTGAAATGATTACTACTCTTCTAACGCAGTATTTATTAATTTTCAAAGATTATTTAAATAACATATATCGTTATATCGCAACAATTAATATCAATAATTATAAAGAAAAGAACACTATTTCGATAACAATAAATACTACCAATACATATTTCTACTAGTACTACGACAAATCGAACGTTTCTACACCGTACACGTTACAACTAAACCTAACTTCTAAGCACAAAAAATATTACTGCAACATTAAATTTAATCAATTTTAATCTTACTCATGAAAATTCCTAAAAAACATACTAACTAAAAAATAAGCCTCACAATACTACATTTCCTACATCTTTCACCATATTGTAGTAGCAAACTAATATTTAACGCTCAAACACGAGACAAAGTATTGTATCTCAAACTACAATACATACTCACTCACTTAACGATTTCTTCACACTAAAAGAGACTGTACGCCGACGTAAACAATGTATTTATAGAAGAATGATATTCTTCACACAGGGATCCTAAAGGACTTACGATAGAGGTCGCTTTCTCAAAATAAGACATGATTAATGTTAACTTCCGATCAAAGCAAGTTACCTCCCAAGATCAAGACTACAAGTCATCCATTTATCAAATATACCGTACTTATTAATATTAGAATATATTGTTATATCAGTTGATTATTCTCGCTGTGAATGATATTTCTGGCCGTAAACCCAATAATATTCCATAAAGCTCGGCCAGCTTATGGTATTAGGCTGGTATTAAATCCGTATAACAATACGAAATTATTTCTATATTTGTTTGCAATTAAGCGCAAACTTACACGATGGGCTATTTATATTCTGCCCACCGCAGATATCTAAACCCGCTTTTTTGGCATTATAAGCCTCCAGACTTACTGCTGTGCTACTAAGAGACTGTAGTAAAAGTATAATGGTGATGAATTAAAATTAATAAAGGATATATACTAAACACTAACCAATACTGTTAACGATAGTAACATTAAAAAAGGAATAGAGTATACTTCACCTTTAGATTATACACACAAGATTTTGTTTCATTAATAATATTAATATTATTCTTCCAATTTTTCATTATTACAGTCACATACAAATATTTTTAGAACAGTGGGGTATACACATCTTATTAAACGTCACGACTTCTGCCTTTCTCAAACGTCAAAACGTTATCATGCATATTTGAATAATAATGTTTTAAAGCACAAATCTACATAATGGACTCTGTGTTCTATCAACCGAAAGTATAGACATCTGACTATTAGTGTTATAAGCCCCGAGGTGTACTGCAGAGCTACAGAGGGTGGGCATGTTAGTACCACCTTTCTTGTAATGGGTGCTATCTAAACCTGAATTCTTCTTAATAGAAGATTCTAGGAAGGTCTCACAACTATCTCTGAAAAACATCTCCCCTCAATGTTCAGCTTTCTTTCTCTCGATTGCAAGTCCTTCTAGTCAAAGAAAATGGCATGTCAATAGCTCTCAAGATATAGCAAACTCCATAATAGGATATATTGGTTAAAGCACCAACATTTTTTTCTACCTATCTACTCTGTGGTATTTTTAAGTAAAACCGAGTTAACTGTCGAGCAATTGGATAGATCCCTATTAACTGGCGATTCAGTCAATATATCAATCATGAAGTATTGCTATTTTTTTTATTTACAGAGGTGAGGTTAAATGAAATAATGAGACTGGATACAAAGTGAAATGCAAAATGAACAAGCTTTATTAATATCATACAGTGTGTTGTACTTGCTTTATTGTATGATGGACTGTCTCTTTTACTGGATTCTCTCAGCTACTTCTCCTTCAAAATCTTGTTCCAGACTGTTTAAATCCATTATTCCTTAGTTTGCAAAAAACGTTGCATTTACCTACAGCGACTAGCGCTACTCATGTGACTGACTATTCTCGTTATAACATAGGTGAAAATGCAACCTATAGATACCATCTGAACAAGTGTTGAAGAACTCTGCTGTCAACATTCTTGCAGTATTACAGCAATATTTCCCCAGCTAGAATAACAAAGTAACTGTTTGTAGTTAAACCCAAGCTACACAAAATGCTATCTTGATGTTCCCACCACGGGTATTGAAACCCAATTTCTAGTGTTCTAAGTTCACAGACTTTCCGCTGACCCATGGGGGACAGTAAGGGAACTAACGTAGCTAGAACGAAGTTAACGGCTATCTCGATCGGGTGTTATTGTGAAACATACATACGCTCAGAACAAAGAATAAATAACATAATATTACAATAAGACAGCAATCAATGGTGTGTTCATATTCAATCCAATCTATAATAAGGAAACGGCAACTGTTATAAAATTTACAAAACCAAGTTATGGTTATCGCCACACGACTCATCAAATACACTTCATTGTTTTCATTTCACCAAACGACCAAGCTTGAACCAATATCTACAAACTTCTTAATACTAAATTCAAATTATTTAAGAAAGCTAAACATAGAAATCCGTTAATATATTATTCATGAAGTTTTTACTGACCAATCTTAATTGGACAAAACTCATATCACCATAATAAAACAATCATACATGAACTATAACCTAAATGCACATGTCAGTTCTAAGTTTTATTTTTCTTCCATAAATATATTTCTTTATTTCACGTTGTATCTGAGCTAAAGAAGATTTTGAGGTAAGATCACAGAGGTAGATTCATGAAAGATATTAAGCCATAAAACTGACAAGTGAAAATGATGTTTTTCTTTGTTCAAGATAAATGGAAAAATATTAGTCGATCAACTTTTAAGTTTGCGCAATTTACATCGACAGAGAGTGCTGCAGTAGTAAAGTCGCCCTCTGTCGAAATCAACTTTCATACCAACAAAGTGAGAAGACCATATCATGATATACATATATATATATCGATTCCAATAGATTATTTAAACAAGCAAGAATTTTTTATTGGGACTCGATATTGTATAAAGGTTGATCTGCCAGTTTGACCTATGTTTTTCAGAATTATTTAGTAATTCTTTGAAGATGTATCAATGATGTTGGTAGTCAAAAACAAGATACACAAGTCTTAATTAAGTTTTTTAACCTAAGTCGGTGTTTTCCAAGCTTAAATAACAGCGTCCCCCCATAATTTAGCAAAGTTTCCGTTGGTCCCTCCCACTTTAAATTAAAATAACTTTCGCAAGTGATAACAGTAAAATCAACACCTTCTTTATCTGTGGCGTAAATACATACATACTGTTACGTCTCCGTTTGTCAATTAATTTTCCGTAACTTCGTTCCAACGAAACTTTAGCGACACAAGTCCTTACTTAATAAAACTGGTTTATTCTTTCTGAATATAACTTTACGATACACTTAATTTCAACATTCGCGCTAAAACAAACGCTATAACGAAAGTTAACTTCAACAATACCCTGTGACTGCAGATCAATTACTCACGACCTACACACACATTGTTGTCACGTTGTGAGCGTCTTATATATATACCAGACAAACATATATCTAGTAAATGCTAGGGCATTCACGAAGGAACAAGATAGTTCTAGAAACGTGGCGTGACATTAGTCACGTGACCTCGCTGACGCAACACTGCCCTCTCCTTAGTATTGTTCATCCCAAACAATAGCCACATACAATAAACCAATAACAATTAACAATAACTTAATTAAATGTCCAGAATTCCAATCACAAAATTAC